CAGTGACAGTCCAAGGGCTGCTCTCTGTGAATCACTTCTGTGGTTAAGATCATTCAAACCTAGACTAAGCTTCCCATTTCTGTGGGAGCAGAAATGGGTCCCTGGGGGAAAATTTTGGAAGCGTTTCAGTGACGTGGGTTGAAGCAATCAGAGCAAATGGCAGAATTTCATCACTACCTCCAGTGCGTGCTGAGTGTTTGTTTCTCAGTTTCCAAAGTGCTCGCCGGCTCTGCAAAGCAAAGGCTGCCTAAATCCTCCTCACCTGCAGCTGGCCACCAAGCAAACTTTTATTTTTAAATACCTAACCTAGAGCTTATTAGCCTGATTTTAGACGACTCTCACATGTTCTGAGAAAGACAACCCTTTGAGAAAGTCTGGAAATTCTAAGGCAGAGGCCCCAGAAGCACTGCCTGGCTTTCGCAATTACCTGGGGCACCTGAGCTAAGTCCCGTAACAGGAGAGCGGCTGGTTGGTACCAAACCTCCTGCAGTGGTTCAGCCACCTCAGATGGAGGAAACTCCGCTGCTTCCACCTGATTTTTCCAGAGCATATATAGCAGGGCAGGATGATGGAAGTGAGGGCAAAGATTTTCTGTGAGTTCGTCTGATTGCATTTAAAACTCTGTGATAACTTCAAAAATGAAGCTGAAAAGAAATATGGACCAAAAGCCCTAAACAAAAGGGATATTAATATTACTCAAGTCTTCCAGCCATCGTTGTATTAAGAACTATTTGGGACCCATACCTTGGACATAGGTGTACATTGCTTATCTCTGCCTTACTGTTTCTTTACTCACAGCTCCACAAATCTGCAGGCAGTAGCAATATTCCCATCAAGGAGAAGGTGTGGCAAATGTTAGAAGTTCTCTGTGCTACACAGCAACTAAAATTTCAGAACGATGCATCACAGCCTTCATCTGAGAACAAATATATTTAGTTGGCATGGAAACAGTAAGTTAGCCTGAATGTGGTAAATATCCAGCAGTCATAAAAAATTGAGCAAGTCAGAATAATAAACATTAAAAATGAAAACTCACTGAATGCTTTTGAATCATAGCTCTTTTACAATTATCATTCCTGGTTTCATTTGAACGTTAGTGAAATCCACTTAAACTAAGCTGCTCCATTTTATTCCAAATACTTCTACAACACCCTTATTCAGATAACTCCTTTCTCCCTTTTTTATAAGCTGTTTGAGAAAAAAGAAATTAAAGGGCTGGAAATCTACATTGGTATTCTCCTTCATTTCCTCAGTAATATTCATGAATTGAACATAATTGATTTTCTCTCTTCAGAGAACCTCTCTCCTTTAAGACTCTATTTGTGACTTGACTGCTTCGAGGAGTATTCCTATGGTTTGGGTATCTATAGTGCTGCTACTTCAGTTGTTTGCGAACATGAGGAACTTTTTTCTCTCTATTATCCCCAATTAGAAATTTTACATCATACTCAATCCACCCCTATAGTTAAAAACATTAGAACAAGGAATGAAAAGAATAGGGCTTTTTTTCTGAAAAAATTCTCGCGTGTAATTCTCAAAAGAGAGATTCTCGGAGCTTTTTAGTATACTGAGTCGGGGTGATTACCCTTACAAAAAGGAATTTGAAATGAAATGAGGTATTCTAAAGAAATCTAGGTAATAAAGGAAGAAGATTGCTACTATTGATTTTTATTGCCCCAATTCAGCAAAATTTGTTGCACATGCCTAAATTCCCGGATTCATTAAGGCACACGCTTAAGCTCTCAGTGATGTGTGTCATTTTTAATTACATATTCACAGGATGTAAAGTCTGCTGTATGAACAATTTAGATTTTTTAACTATGACTGACAACTGCACAAAGCCATATGACTCAAGGAAGAGAAACATTTTTAGTAGAATTAAAGATCTTTCTATCAGAAATCTTGTCTTACATTAGATCTAGGCACGTATCAGAGACAACCAAGTGATACACCATAAGAGTATACGATACAGGAACATAACCTTAATGGGATTAGTTGACAAGAAGCCAGTTCCCACAGTTACATATTACTGAGGTAGAAGAAACTCCAGCATTGCTTTGCAAGGAAAAAGTTTGGACGTACCCAAATTTCCTAGGAACCTTCCCAGACTGCTTTAACTGTCTTGGGACGATGTATCAAGAAACCTATATATAAAAACCTACGTATTAAGTGTGAGTTACACTTTATTTACTGCTAGTTTGCCACTTTCCATGAATACAATTACATATGTCTCAAGAATCTGGACATCGGATTTTTGAAGGAAACATCCAGCATTTTGAGATGAAGTTCTGAGACTCCAATCTAGAAGTAATATTACTGAACACAGGGACCATTGTCCTAGAAAACCATGCTTAGCAGAGACAGGACAACCTTTATGGAAAAGATACAATTATTTAGGTTAGTCAAAGTGGGAGAAGTTCCCAGGCACTTTTGACAAATGTACATTTATCTGCATTGGAACGCATCATTCAGATAACGTTGCCATACTGCAACGTTCCACTGATGAAACAACACAGATATAACGCGATTGCATCTACTCACACTGTAAAGAGGATCGAAAAAGTAAACAGGAGTAAACACAAGTTCATACAAGAACATGAAGTACTGGAACAAAAAAGCTCCATAAAAACAACAGCTCATCTTCAGCTGCAGTGCCACGCTCGCCGCTAGACAGCTCAGGGCTTGCCATCAGAGTCCTTCTAACACATTCCCCCCCTTATTTATAGGATAGTTTGTCTCTGTCTCTCTGGATAATTATAATAAAGAAAGGTTAACTCTGTGCGATCACCAGAGGGTTATTGTAACAAAGAGTTAAGCTTCGTGGATCTGTCAGTCACTCTTAGAGACTGAAGAGTTGTAAGGACATTGCACTGAAAAAAAGACAAACATGGAGCACTAAGATACCACCCAACAAGCCATAACGAGAAACAGCTTTTTATTTTTAATTAAAAGCACAACAAAATGTTTTTTCATGTCTCATTCATTTGTTTGTTGTTGTTATAGAATCAAAACACAAGATTTTTCCTTTTAATGAAAAACAGAAGCTGTTTAACCCTCTCTCCTCCTTATTTACAGACATGTAAAAGCTCAGAAAAGTGGCCTTTGTAATAGAGCCAGCGCAAATTTTGATGTTTTATGCAATTCCGATTCAAACAATATTTGGTAAAAGCAGAAAGCAAGTTCTAAGTTACTGCCTTAAATATTTCAACTCCCTGATCGGCTGATGAGTCGTTAGCTACTGTTAATACTTGATGAACATGTTTACAGGTAGCCTGGCCAAGACATAATAACTGGAAATATGTCAGAGCTGTCATTTTTGCATTTTTCTTCTGGAGAGATAAGCATAACTAATGGATTAACCAGTCACAGAGGAGACACACTAACAACTTTCAAAATGTTTGTCTGCAAAATAGACCACAGCCACCTACACAAAAACATCCTCAATGGCTCCAGCTTCTTCAGAAAGTCCCAACGGATGAACGGCACAGACAAGACCGTTGACGAACTCAGATGTGAGCGTTACCATAAGTCTGCTAACATATTACCACCTTGCGGGAAAAGCTCTAAGCTGGATGGTGCAGTGCCATTTAAATAACATTTCTGTTCCATTTATACCGGGGAATGGGACATTACCAGCTGAGCTAGTCCTTCATTAATTTAGTGCGGACAGGATAGTCCTGTAGGTTGGTTTAGACCAGGTGCTCATATAAGAGAAAACCTTGAAGGCAGAAAAGGGGGACCATCCTGTAATCTGCATGTCAAGCCTTCTACTTCTGTATTTCACAAGTCATTTTTTGTTTCTTCTTCTGGATCCTCTCTCAAAATGGGTCAGAAAAAAAGCAAAATGGCAGTGGCAAAGATTAAAGAAATAAATTTAAAAAAAAAGAGATTTGGAAGAGGACTCTCATAGCGTGCAGGCCAGTGCTGTTCCCTGGGAGGGACAAGCATGCACCAAATAGCTAATTTTCCTTCTTCTTTTCCAGAAGACTCTTTGAAGCCAAAATGCAATGCTCATAGGCCAACTCCCTCGTTACACCAAATTCCTCTGATGTTGCAAGCATTGCAGCTAAGGGTGAACCTGGCCCAACATTTAGATTTGGGAGGCAGAGGGGGAAGAGAGCAGGACAGGTAACCACCGACTCTCCTGAGAGGAAATACATGAACGTAAACACCAAGGGTGAATGAGAGATCCCACGTGCAAGTAGCATGACAACAACTGGGGAAAAATATTTGAAATTAATCATTATTACTCCTCTACAGCCACCGCAACTTACTGTTCCTGCAGGTATAGATTTAGAAATGCTTTATATAGGATATACGTTATGGATACTGTTTACTCAGCACCAAATAAAGTTCTCAAATGCTGCAAAAACTGATTTGTATCAGAAATCCATAAATTTGTGTGTGATTCAGATATCCACCACCTGTATATTTTCCTGAATACTTCAATTTAATCTGGTTTGAATGCAGATCATTGACTTTCCGTTTCAATACTAGTCTGTAAACTACATACACTATTTTGCTTGAAGCACACTAAATGTCTGATTTCACTGAAAGTGTCCAGAATAATTTTAGCACTATTAATCATATGTAACTGTTTACAGACAACATGCTAGGACAATGAATGCATAAGATCAGGAATAAAGATTATTTTTAGCGCAGTTATTGTCCAATTATAATTCTCTTCATACAAGCCATTAAACAACAGGGTAGAATAGTTTCAGAACCCTCTATTAAACCAGTATAGTCAGTTCAAAATAAATGCATCATTTAACAGATAGAATAGTTGAAATACCAACTTGAAATAGAGAGCATGAGATAAGTATTTGCCTGTAGGGTTCAGACAGTTTAATTCTTTTATTACCAAAAAAAAAAGGAAAAGAAAGCTAGCTGAAAATTTTGCAGGAAAATATGTGCTTTTCTTTTGAAGCAAGGTTTTATTTTTAAACAGCGAACCTCCTTGCCCAAGGGAAATGTTCAGGGGGGACAGCACCCGGTACCTGCTCGTGGGTCTCCAGCTCCCTGAGTTGCAGCTTCTTCTCTGCAGCCCGCGCCTGAATGCGGTAATTTTCCACTTCATCCTGCAAGGCCTGAAACAATACCAACGGGTGCAAAACACACGTGAGAAAGCGGCATGGCAGAAAAACTTATAGGTACTGAGCTGATTAAGAAAACAGTGCAGTATCAGTACAGCCCTTCAGCTACGGTGGCGAGCAGCCGTACGTGACAGCTGCTAAGACGTGACAGACCCAGTTTGGCCACCCTTACTGGGTGAAGTTATTCTGCACGGGTAGGACCATTGATTGAACAGGAGTAGTTAAATCTTAGTAGTTCTATCTTACTATAGGCTACAAGTATTCATACTAAAAATGTAATAAACATCCTCGAAGATTGACAGGGAAATGGAAATCTTGCAATTGCAACAATCGCATTTGCATTTACAATTGCAAATGTCTCGGATTTTTGTCATCATCTTATTTGTACAAACTTAGGAACACTTTTGCAGTGTACCAATAACTTTTCCTTTAAGCCAGAAGAATAATCCTCTCTCTGGAAAACGATGTCTGGAATTTGCAGTGAAAATGTATTCCATATTATTGAAATGGGATGCTCGCCGAGATGAGGGGCTCCCCTCCCGCCCTGTAGTAAAGTCTAGCATGTGATCTACAAATGAAGTATAAATGGCAATAAATAAAAGGAATATTATGATCATGTCAGTTTACCACAACTATCCAGTCTTTATTTAGTTCAGAAATAATCACTTCTAAATCAAGCTCATAAAATGCATTGACAAATTTATTTTGTCATTATTGTTCTTCGTATATATTTATTTTTATTACGGCAGTCCCTCAGAGCCTTGATCTTTTTGTTATATGCTTAACAAAAGAACAGTCATGCCCCAAGGAACTGATAGTCTATGTTATTTCTAACAGATACACACCAAACAAACAATACAAAGTTTCAAAGATTTTTTTTTTAAAGTTTCCTAGTCATTGTTGAATGTTTGAATACACACTTAGCATTTACTTACACATTTACTAAAAGCTTAGTTATGTTGTCAGCTTGAACAAAGGCATTGTTAACTGCAAGTGCTGACTTGAAGCAAAGCACACAACGTGGATGTTAGATTGACATCAACACAGAGGCGGCTGGGGCAGCAGAAAGGGAATATTTTGAGTTATCTTTTGTATGCCAGGAAATGGGGGCATTGCTGCCCATCAGCTGAAAAGCGTGGCGCAGAGTCAGGACTGGTCCTGGGGAGGGACTCGCGCCGGAGGTACGCTGTAAATGGCACTGAAGGTGCCCCCAGTGTTGCTTTTTAAAAAGACCTTCTGCAGAGCGCCCTGGAAAGGAGAGAACGACGAGTCCACGGACTCTTAGCGCAGGACTCTTTGCAGAAGATGTGATACGGTTAACGTTTGCTTCCTTCAAGTAGAATACCCGTACATAAACCAGGATCATTAAAAGTACTCGCGGTGCAAAGATTTAACAGAAAAAAACCCTTGCTCTTTTCCACAGCATTGAAATACTGTATTCTCAAATCATTTACAGGATAAAATTGCTATTGAGATAAGATAAGAGGACTACTTATGATAGATCTTGCACATTGTTTTGAAGTGATGCCAGGCATTAACTTTAAAGTCTTCTAGCTATAAGACTATTACATGTTCTGATGCCAAAAAATTTAACCAGACCCAAGCATGAACTTCAAATCTGCCCAGGGACTTTTATGATATCACCGCTTCTGAGAAATGTTGAAATCCAGGCTTTGAATATATAACCGGCCTTCAATACTCAACAAGTCTTGCAGTACCAGGAATTTGCATTAATATAATGAAATATATGTGTGAATTGTAGGCTTTTTGTTTTCTTTTTGTACATCTAATTTTGTAAGGTAAAATACAAACAAGCATACTCTGATTTTAAAACTAAAATGATGAGGTCATGCAATGTAGAAATGTAACAAGGAGCAGGGCTGTTCCATGTATCAGAAAGATCACCAAAGACCTAATTAATTTGACAAAAGTCCTGCCATAACTCCAAAGTGTCCAGAACAGGACGACTCTCAGGAACATTCACAGAGCACGTTTTGGATAAACTACAAAGTATGACCCGTCTTCTCCTGCTATTTCCACGTGATCAGCTTATACAGTCCACATAGCTTGGCATGGTCAAAAATAAGGAGGGAGGAAACCTCGCTACACATCAGTCGTCCTACCCAGACTCCCTCCTTGTGCTCAAGAGCAAGTTTTACTCTTTCACAGGACTTTGGAGATGGTCAAGAGGTAGCACGTATATGTACAAATGTATATGTGAATATATATACGTATTTGTCTCGGAGAACAGATTTGTATCACACTCCATCACACAAATCTGCAAGTACTGAACACAAAACAGGATCTCAAAGTGTTCCTGGTAAAGACAGCAACCACATGGTGGCAAAGAGGAGAATTGGTGCGCTGCTGTTTCCTTCCTTAATTTCTCCATTTTTACTTTTCTTATTTACAACAGACAAACATATTTTGCAGAGCATAAAATGAGAGGTTCCTTTAAATCTGAGGGTTTGCAATGCATCTTAAAGTAATTTAATTTGGGCAATTCAGATAACACAGTCTATGTTAGGTCCACCTACTCTAGATAGCGTTTGCCAGCGTGGAGTGCACGTATTTTGTTTCATTATGAGAGCAGACAATGTCTTAAACGAGTACTATTTAGAAATAAAGTATTTTTACTATAGTATATAAGTGTAGCAAACTATCAAGTCTTATAATTATCCATTCACCAATTGTCCAAACCAGAATATACCGTATGAGTTTACAGACTTTTCCAATCACATCAGAACTGGCTGTTGGTACGTTTTGTATTGGGATGGCAGGAAAAAAGACTAACTCCTCTGATCAATCATGAATACCTCCAACTTGACCATTTTTGGACTATTGCTGTGTTGCATACCAGCTCTACCGGTCACTCTGTAGAATCTAGTTTTGTGTATAAAGGATGTTCCATGAGTAATTAATGCTCATTTGGGTATTCCAGCTTTCCTATCAGCACAAGGACGAAAAAGTAAAACCAAAAGATCGGTATTTGAGCAAAGCCATGCCAAAAAAAAAAATGTAACATCAAAATCTCATGGTTGCTGTAGATTTCTGCATATGATCAGCTCTGAAGATAGTAATTCGAAGCAAGCAAGTTCATTGCCCATGATTTTAATTTTCTAGGAGGAATCACGATGGATGTCATGAATAACGCAGCCTTTTGAAGAGCACACGGAAAAGTCTCTCTATTGTCAAAAAGCTCCCTAGGCAGTGGCCAGAGCCTGAATGCTGATAGCTGTTTCTGAAGCTACCCAGTACCCTCAAATATTTTTCTGTGTCTGACAGAGAAGCTTTTGTCACGTAGAATACTCTTAAAAACAGCAGACGACTTACCCCAGGTACACCACAGAACATCTCTTTTGTAAAACTAAACAATGGGGTTTGTTTTGTTTTGTTTAGAAATGCAGTTTTTATTCTACAGCTTCAAAGTGTCAGATTTTGCCCAAAGAGTAACAGAGCTTATGTTTAATAACTGCTGAGATGAAGAAAAAGGGATAAAAAAATTAAAAAAACAGGCCAATTTTTAAGTGTCAGAGGCTTTTTTCCCTGAACGGAAAACAAAGCCTAACTTATTTAGTTAAATTTTTCCAGGTACAGAATTAATCCCCATCCCTCAGCTTTGCTAAGTTGACTTACATCACTGTTATAAAGACAGTATTTTTTTTTCAGTTAAACCGGCTTTCAAATGCCATGTAAACATGTTTGCTGTTGAAAGTCTACACCATACCTGACCTTGGAAGTGCTTTGTGTTGGCCTGAGAACAAAGAAATGAAATGTTTTGCTTTCCAGCCCAGATATCCTACCCTTTGAAAAGCACTTAAAAATGTAAATGAGATAATAAGCTCTACTGCAACAATGTGGGTGAATTACAGCTGTATAAAAGGAACATTCATTTGATTTATTTATAAAAATGGAAAGGATCCTAAAATAAAATCATATTGTAAATGTTTTGGTGGCATACAACATTGAGAGACATGAGAAGGATGGAAGGGAAAAGTGATGGCTTTGAGACTACGCCACTGAAGTATTACGGTCAGATTTTGGGACCTCAAGTGGAGCTGGTGGATGAGTCCATCGCTGTCACTGTGATACATGAAACGTTTGGGTACTGGCTGATATGAACGGAGAAAAGAACATCTAAACTGCATTTCTGGGTAGGCACTTTTTTTTTTTCCCATTATTCTATTGTGGTTTGATTATCACCAGCAAAAGGTTTAATGAAGTTTATTTCAAACCCAACTCTGCTCATGGGAACTTGGAGCACTTTGGAGACCACAGAGTAGCACATGTGGAGTTAGCGCGGAGTTTGGCCCGTGCGGCTCGCAGAGATGTTGGGACGATGCACAGGACCGGAGGAATTCAGCCTGAGTCCTGGGTGCCAGACTGAGGCTGCAAAAGAGGGTTTTTTTTAAAAAACCCAACTTGTAAAGTGTATAGTTTTGACAAGGAGCCATAAAGAGACAAAAAGGTACGATGCCAGCATTACAAAATCCCTTTTCAAGGCAGGAATAAATTTTTGGCATTAGTTACAGGGCTTAATCTAAATCAACCAAAAGCTGGTAAGAGAAAGAGTTCTAAGAATCACATGAACAAGTATGAAATGGGAATATATGAAGGATTTAGTCTTTAATATATGAAAACCGATTTGATTATCCTTTAACCACAGGGTATTTTTAAAAAGAAGTGTTGGATTCCCTAAAAGAAAATTCAGTTCTGGAAGAATTACATAAACAGAAATCATTATTATTTTTAATTACTTGGTATTGATTACCACTGTAAAGATACTGTATTTAAGAAGATGTGATGTTTTGCTTCTTCAACCCGAAATAAATTCCTACTTTTGGTGTGTTCCTGAGAGTAGACAAGGCTTGATTCCTGCTCCCATCACGTCAGTGGCAAGTCTGGGATCACAATTTATCTCTCTGGTACTGAGGGTTGAATAAGTGACACTTGCAAGGAAAGGAAAATCTTCCAAAAATGTTAAATACCAATGT